GAATTTTCACAGTAAAGTTGACAAGTGAATATTATTAAAACACGTTTCACAAGAATCCTAGCCAGGGGTTCCACCCAACTCTATTACACGAAAGACTGTACACTGTCCCGATATGTTTATGTTTTACTTTTCCGCTTTCGTGGATTCGCAGTTGCTGATGGAAATTCAAGTTCATCAGATTGATTGTCTATTGACAACTCTTCGTCAGGCACATGGACATCAAATGCTTCATTTTCCAATATCGGCGAATCGGAAATAACATCAATGCCTTCGCTCTTTTCATCAAAAATATGTTCTCCATCCATTTCTGATTCACATACAATTGGTGATTCAGAATTACTGCAGCCATTTCCGTTGCAATGGCCACACAGAACGGTGCAAACCAAACCTGCTTTCTTGCAGCCACATGATCGCTCACAGCCACTCTTGCAATTGCAAGAAATCAAAGTTAACAGTTTTTCAGGCGCAGGTGCTTGACGAGTGAGAACCGGTTGCAGGTTTCCATTTTTCAATTGCCAGCCCCACTGAGTTGGGGGCAACTCCACTCCTAACCACTGTTGCACTTGATGATACACTCTGAATGAATGTTCCTTTGCTGCTGCAGATGTCGGTGGCAAAGCCGCGAGTTGCATCTGGTTGTTAACAGGACAGTTAGCTACCGCTTTCATGAATCGTTTGTGTCTGTGATCATTCAGAGAAGTTGTTGACTTAGGAGCACTATACAATGCCAGAAGAAACTTTTCTCCCGCGGATGACACAGAATCAGGGGAAGATGTTGGATCGTTGAATACACTCACCACCTCGCGCCGTAATTCCTCGTTTTTCTGTAAGAGGTTGAACGCCTTCTTCTTGCCTTGTCTGTACAGGGCGGAGGTAGTGTCAAACCTGTCATGGCGTGCAGAAAGAACAACGAGCTGGATACTTCTGTCAAATGTTTCTGAACATCTCTGATAGAAAATACTTTATCTGGACATTTTCCAGCTCCTTGTTTGTACAGATAGAGTTGGTTGTCTTTCTTCGATAGCTGTATCAACAAAATAAGCAAGTCGACATCAGTTCCGACTACGACAACGTTGTTGTTGGTCGACAAATCAATTGCAGTTCGCACAATTAACGCATCTGCATCTGCTACCGCTTGTTTCACTTCTATCTCAGCATGTTCAAGATATCGCGTTAGACCTTCAATAAACCGTGCTTTATTCTTTCCATTTGTCAGAAATCTTTCTTGACGGATAGTAATAGGCATGTCATCCGTGAACAAGATCTCTGTCGACTGCGCCTTCATTGCTCGCCGATTTTGCTCAGCACACTTTGTGGACGGAGCGTCACTATAGCCATCAAATACAATAACGACCCTTTGTGTTTCATAGTGTTTTTGAACATAGGTCACATATGATGAATATATGTCACTGTATGAGCCATGTTGCGGCCATATCACTCGTCTCAATAAGTATCCACCATCCAAGACGACAAGGCTACGAAAACGGTGCAGTGTAATAGACTTAGTGTCATTAATGTTAAAGTTATTGCTACTTAGTAATATTTTTAGAACACAACATGCATAAGAGTTAAGTGCGTTAAATAAGCTTTTAATATTCAATAGAAAGAGTAAATGATTTTTTACGTATTGAAATGCTTAACTTTTCTGGGCGATATCTTGGGCACGGTAAAAACTTTCCATCAAAAGAAGTATGTGTTTGTGGACCCCAAGACAAGAATGAGCGTAGCTTTATAGGAAAATCTATCTTTAATCCGTCTCCAATGTTGTCCACAATTTTATCCCAATTGTTTGGAAAATTACGGAAATGATTAAAATCATTTCTTTCAAGTAGAAGTGAATTTCTGTCATTGCCTGGTTTCCCCTTTCCATTGAAAAGATAATTAAACACATCACGCCGAAATGAGATGACAGTTGGTACAGTGCTTCTCGATTTCAGCTGTTTTTGTATTCCACAAAGTAAGAAATCTCTCCCTTTCTCAATAGCTTCAAGTGAAGGTTGTGGATTATTATAAGCTCTATTAAAAGAAACGTTTATCGTTTATTGAACTATGCTAACTATAGTCATGCAGATTCTGCTAGAAATATATTTAGGGGGTTGAGGACTTTTTCAAAGGGATTAGTTACACAGACCACAATTTGTTTTGATTTCCAGAGAGATAAATCCTGAAAACAGACGTCCTCGACAGGGTCAAAGGTATGATTTTTTAATACAATAGCCCAATTAATAAAGCAGCCTCAAATTAAGAACAGATCTATCCGTTTCAATCTCGATGATGAATTAAAAACTACAGTTTATCCACTTTATAGGAGAAAAGAGAAAAATAGATACCTGATTGCAGCTGCATTAAGATTCCCCTCAGGCTCCCACGTGTTTGCTAAAGAACTATACCCTTTCCATTTTACATAATATTCTACCTAAACATGACAAGTCATTAATAAACGATAATAAACAGCCCGAAAAAGTTTCCAATCTAAGTTTTTTAAGTAAAACAAGAGACAGTGAAATACAATAAATAGACTGTCGTTGTCAATGTCATTGACATTGTAATATAAATATTTTGAGCGCTCATGAAAACATATTATGCACACCTTTCTACGATGATATCTGCGAAAAATAACTCTTTCCACTTCAAAACGTTTCTTCGAACTTCTCAGCATATTGCTCCTTCGATTGTTTACCATTTTACGAAAGTCTGAGTATGGGTAAAAAACTGTTTAATGAATGGCGATGTAATCGAAAAGTCTTAAAAATCAAAAGTGCTATATCTGCGCCCGCGAGGCAACACGTTGTAACTGTGCAGAAACTGTCCTTGATTTCTGGCAATGGCTTAATATATTTTATTTCACACTTAATTTGTGTTTTAATGAATAAACGTTAAAAATCAATGCAATAATTTGGTGACTATAATAATATTGTTAGCAAGATAAGCCCGCGATACTTTCTACATTAATCATGTTTACAACATGGGGAGGCTCCACTGTTTTTTGAAAATGCCAACAGGTCATTCAGTCAAATAGACCTTTTCGTAATTACGTCAAAATTACACGGAAGCGAGGCTGAGAGGCCAAGCGATATTGCTTTTATTTAGAAGCCTCGCTTCAATGTAGTTGTGACGTAATTACCGAAAAGGTCTATTCTATATGGCGAATTTATAAACATTCCATACTAGTAATCTAATATTTCTTTGGATGACACATTACAAGGGCTTCAAATAGCAAGCAAGGTAGTACAAATTTTTATAGCGCAACAGACCCTTGCCTTGTTTGCATTTATTAAATTCCGATCATATATGACCAAAGAATATGTGCGCCATTGTGCTATTGTATGCTACAATGCATATATAATAACTAAGCTTTCTTGGGAGCTTGGAAAATTTGCCTTTTAAAAATACCAAATCATAAACAACGCAAGGGATCTGTAGAGTGTAGAAACGTATGACTATACTCTATAGCTATAAACTTAAATCCAGTTGCCAAATGCATATATTACCAGCCTGGAAAGTAAAGTGTGTACACCGGACTTGTCCGGTGTACAAACACAAATTTTGGCGTACATATGGCGTACATTTGTTTACCTTTAGAAGTAATTATTCAGAGTTTGCAAAATTGGACCAAATATATTTATACTAAAGTCTAAAAAATAAATGTATTTGGAACTTTTGCACATATACATTTCCAAAATTGGCGTACATTTACATGTGCCTGGCTGAATCGATATCCGGTTAAAAAGTAAACTTTGCAGACTGGCATATATTATACAGCTTTTGTTGCATACCGAAGGTAGAGTTTAACATATAGTGTAAATTCTGAAGAAAATAAAGGTTTTTTGCACATATACTTACATTTTTTTAACTGAGATATTTTCAATTCGCAGCGTCTGCAGACAATTGTTATTGTCAGTGCTTCCACTTTTGAACTGCCAAATCCAACCAAATCCAACAAAATGTATTCAATCTGCCAAAATTTCCGTTCAAAGGTAGTGTATGGTTCTGGCGTTAATACAACAAAAGCTCAAGCGGGATACATGAGGACTTTTAGTATGTTGTTGAGAACGGTTAAAGGATTGCATACTGCAAATTTCAACTTTTTACTATTTTTTTCCGACCTTAACAAAAAAATCTCCTAAAATTACTGGACTACTGTGGAGAAGAGACATTCCTATTGGGGCCTCGTATGACGTCAGTTGTCGTTCATTCCTACGCCTGCTATCTAAAAGAAGACTTCTCGCAACAAGCAGGGCCGTAGCTAGAAGCTTAATTGGGGGGGTGCATATTCATATATTCGTCTTATGCCCGAATGATTTTTTTTGTATGCTATTGTTCCTATGGTATATAAACATGAATATATGAATATACACCCCCCCAATTAAGCGGTCTAGCTACGGCCCTGGCAACAAGAGAATAAAAGAGTTTTCCATGAATCGCGTTTCATGCATGCATTTGTGGCCATACACACTCTACATACCCTCAAGGTATTAAACTGAACATTCCACAAATCCACCAATAGAGTGGGCACCAAGGTTGTCACAGCTGAACGGACCAATAGTGCCCTTAAATACTCGATCAGCTTTTGTGTTAAGATTATTTGAACACTTTTCTGTGTATACCTTGTAAGTAACCAAGAGCATGCATTGTTGTAACATAATGTTTCCAAAATATATTGAATGTTGTGGGAGGTTTTAATTTTACAATACATTATTTAGGTACCCGACAAGGGACCAAATTACACAAATATGCTAACAAATTGTAAAAGATTAATCATTTCTGCAAGAAAAAGGCATTGGATCTGGCCATAAGCTCTATTATTTCTTATCCAATAGTAAAACAATTGTTAAAAAATCATTCACATTTAAATTACCTTAATATATGTTTAGGATTCTTGGTATTCTCAAATTTATGAGAAATTTAGAGATGAAAGAAAACATGCGCAGGATCCGCAGGTCCTTCAAAGAAAGAGAAAGTCGGTGGATGGCGACATCAAAGTTGTAAAGAAGTCTTTTCGAAGAGGGGGGATAAATTGGGAGTCAGCCTTTTCTGAGGGAGAAGATGAGGCATCCATGAAAGCCCAAGTTGTGTCCATGAAGAGCGAGTCCCGCAAGAGGAATCCTGATGCAGGAAAAATCCAATCAAGAATGGCCATCACCTTTCCCTACTGGAGGAGATTTATAAATGAAAAAACCCTTTAGCTGAGATTAAGCAGGAATATCCAGCACTTTTCTCAAACAAAGAGGTAAGATGATATTCAATTACACTGTATACATAGAAATATATATGATTGTTACAATTATTGTTTAATTATTTAACTTTAAAAGTATTTCCTTTCACAAAATGAAATCAGAATTGAAAAAGGATTCATAGGTGAATGTTCAATCTTATTTAATATGTCATTTGTACAGCAAAATGTATCAGGCTTTAAAGACGTTTTTACAAGATAGTTTGGTTTTTGCCAAATTAGATATATAATATAATACTGCACAGACTCATGTGTTATAAATTTTTAGATTGTTGCAAAATTTGAGAGGATTTTGGCTGTTACATCAAGCATAAAAGATACCTTCAAAACCAACTTTCTCCAAATGAGCAACAAGATCATAATGCTTGCCAAAATGTCAAAGAAAGTAAAGTGCTATGAACAGATAGGGCAGTATCTGAAGTTGCTAGAAACTGACCCTAATTGTCAACAGGATGTTGAAAATTCAGATGGTAAGTCTATAATATCAAATATTGTAGTCTATAGTCCATTCATCTATGATACATCTATGGCATATATCTGATATTAATTCTCTTTGACTTTGATATAGATGAAATATCAGATGTTGCCCTGGTAGTAGCTGCCCTGCTGTTGCAGAAGTCTGGTAAAAACGACCTAAGCAGCATCATCCAGTTCATCCCAGTAAGTTATTCCAGAAATGTTTTCACTATACTGTTTGCTTCAGCTTCAGATTTTTACAACAGCATAAATTAGATTTATATTTATGACAGATGCTAAGTTAGACTCTTCCATTTCTTTGCAGGAAGGTTCGAATTTTGAAAAGGCTGCCAGTGAAACGCAAGAGAGGCATCCAAAGATATTGGTCAAGAAGAGCATTGAGGACATTGGGAAAAAGGCTGTCGTAGCGGAGAAGATAGCGGTATGCCTTTGCAAGGGATGTTGCTCGACGCAATTGTTGCGTATATGGCCGTGATGTATGCTTTCTTGTTCGAGTATCTAGTAGTAGGATTAAGTCACTTTTGTTTATTTTTACAAAAATTTGTTCTGCACATCCATGATGGGAAAAAACTGCCTAGTTCAGTTTTAGACTTTATTAAAAAATTGAACACTTTAGCTTTATAGTCTGATATTCATGTATACATGTATACAAACACATTGAACAACGCTTTAATTGAGGTATTTGTCGAACACTGTTTTGGCAGCGGTTCTAACTTGTCTTTATATCCCTTCTCCAACTAAAAGCATTTTGTTTAGCCCCTGGGAACGTTATCTTTATTAGTTTATTTACCTGCCAAGAATTTAATTATTACAGTTGCATATAAAGAAAGGTAAAGGCTTTGACCAAATTGATCATAAATATCCGATGTTGGACAAGTCGTTGAAACTCTGTGTTATTCTGTAAAATATAATGGATATCCCAAGCATTCGTGTGTGGAATATACAGAAGAATTGGAATTAAAACCATTTCAGTTAAAATCTATGTGGGCCAACCAATTCTCACACAGGGCCCTAAATAATCTATTTACTCTGTAAAATCTGTATAAAATCTACTAATTACGGTCCAGCAATGCATAAAGAAGCTATATATCTCTGTAATTTTAAAGCTTAAACGCTAAAATGGCTAAAAAACCTGTTATTTTTCAATAACAAAATTCTACTTTTGAGTGATTGAACACAGGTAGTGAATTTATATTTATTTTTAAGGCTCGCTCGCTCCGCAGCAATTATCAATAAAATGTTTCAGTTAAAAATCTGTTATATGGTTTACATTCTCCAATAATATAAATTACCAAGGACAAAGTTACCTCGTAGCTTCTTAAGCAGTGGTTATTAATATGACGTGGTGTGTGCTTGTTTGATCTTGCATATTTTATACAATTAATTACACCGCAACTGCAAAAAGCTTCTTGTTTCTCTGAACACAACGACATCAACATGGCTGAGATATTCAAACTCAAACAACAGTTTCTAGATAAAGAGACTTTTGACATACATGTAGGATACGAGTTCATTGAAGTTCGCTCGGTCATAATTCTGGCGTGGTAAAAAAATGTTTTATTTCCAGGGATGCTGGAACCACGGATGCAGCACCGTTATCCTTTGTTTTTACAGCTTTACATATGCATTATGGGTGCACAATTGAACTGGGATGCTGTGCTTTGCCAACTTGTATTGCATGCGTATTGTTACTTTCCTGTAATTCATTATAATTATGCAGGTGTTAAAAGAGCTGGCGATAAAGGTGTCACCTACTTCTATTTTTGTACAAAATTTAGTGGGGGGATGCTGATCATATTAACTGAAACAAGACGCCGGCTTAGGCGTACACTCGTGTTCTAGGGATTGTGTTCTAGGGATTTGATAGCATTACTTGACTGTCTTGAGGGACACAATCATGGCGTGTTGTTGGACCCTATAGCGTAAGTTAAGGCTTTGTGGTTACCCTTGGCCTGGGAGGACTTACACGACAAAAATGTATCACACAAGTATAACTAATACATTTACATTATTATCACAATTCACAAATGCCGATTATAGGTAGCCTAAAAATCAACACGGCGTGACATATTACTGTGTCAATGCTTCTATATTGAAGTCCTGCAGACTGCAGTGTTTTAGTTCCGACGAAAGCTTTCAAAAAACTGGTTGTAATAGTATTGATTCGTATTGTTCGTAATGTCAGTCGACGGTTCAAACATTTAGGTATTTTAAATAAGTATAATTTATAAGCATTTGTACGTCTATAACACTGCGAAAACATCCATCATATATCTTGCTTTCATATAAGAATTTAAAAATATACATCGCACCAATCAATATGCATGTAAATGTTGCACCGCAGTAATGTCTTCTGTGCATATATATTTTGCCGTATTGTTTGTAAAATGTGGCTTGTATTGTCGGATAATTACATTCCGTCAACATTACTGAGTCAAGTGCGCAATGCATTCTGGGTCATCGAGGTCCAAAACGCGACCGACACACGACGAAACCTAGACTCTTGCTCTCCTAGAGCACGAGTAATAACAATTGCCGGAACCGTCCACTGATTATATTATGATAGGGGAACTTGCTTACGCCAACAGTCACGAGTGAAACGTTGCGAAGGTGATACTCTAGTGTGCGGCAGGCTCAAAGTTTCCAAGTTTTTCAATTTCAGAATCAGCGAATATGGTAAGTGACCAACGTTCAATTGGTTTTTACTATTTGCCGTAAAACTTACATATAGGTATATATTTAGGTTTATACGAAGACAATAATGCCATCGGAGGAAATCATCGGTGCAATGATATCAATGGTTGAACTACCTGACTCAAAACCAAAAAATGGCTGGAGGAAAAGTTCGTAATACGTTTTCACGAAGACGCAAACTGTACTATGACTGGAGGAGAAACAGAGGTGATTTCCAAAGTAGATACAGGAAAGAAGCGAGTAATATAAACCCAACAACCTCTGAGGTACATGCCTAATTTTTTTAATAATTGATTATTAATTAATCTCTTTAAACTATAAAAGATATTGTATGGACATAGAGATTTATCACTTGAATATCATGCTCTTTAGTTTGACCATGCTCGCCGGCACGAGGAAATAACTGATAAATATTATACCTCAGATTCAAATTGTCCAATAAAAAAACTGTATTTGTACCGCGTGATGAGTAGATTTTTTGTGGAAGCACATAGACTGCGATTGTAAAATATTAGCTTTTTGTTTGAGGCTGGTTACCCCTGTTTTAGACGACAGACGTTGAACTTTTCAGAGTTTTCCAGTGCTCACGATTTGACCAATTTCTGCCAAATTTGAGCACGATGATTAATTATAATGTTCCTGATTTGTAAGAATAAACATGTTCTGATAAATAGTTTAGAAGTAGATAGCTTTCAGAGAATGAGTGAGCAATACAATTGCATGCATGTGCTATCTGGTGATTTTTTCAGACTTATCGTATTGAACATCAACTGTTTCGATTCGAAAGAAGCGTTTCGCTGACTTCTTAAGAGCAGCCTGTGGAGAAGAGACATTCCTATTGGGGCCTCGTATGACGTCAGTTGTCGTTCATTCCTACGCCTGCTATCTAAAAGAAGACTTCTCGCAACAAGAGAATAAAAGAGTTTTCCATGAATCGCGTTTCATGCATGCATTTGTGGCCATACACACTCTACATACCCTCAAGGTATTAAAACATTCCACAAATCCACCAATAAAGTGGGCACCAAGGTTGTCACAGCTGAACGGACCAATAGTGCCCTTAAATACTCGATCAGCTTTTGTGTCAACATTATTTGAACACTTTTCTGTGTATACCTTGTAAGTAACCAAGAGCATGCATTGTTGTAACATAATGTTTCCAAAATATATTGAATGTTGTGGGAGGTTTTAATTTTACAATACATTATTTAGGTACCCGACAAGGGATCAAATTACATAAATATGCCAACAAATTGCAAAAGATTATCCATTTCTGCAAGATAAAGGCATTGGATCTGGCCATAAGCTCTATTATTTCTTATCCAATAGTAAAACAATTGTTAAAAAATCATTCACATTTAAATTACCTTAATATATGTTTAGGATTCTTGGTATTCTCAAATTTATGAGAAATTTAGAGATGAAAGAAAACATGCGCAGGATCCACAGGTCCTTCAAAGAAAGAGAAAGTCGGTGGATGGCGACATCAAAGTTGTAAAGAAGTCTTTTCGAAGAGGGGGGATAAATTGGGAGTCAGCCTTTTCTGAGGGAGAAGATGAGGCATCCATGAAGGCCCATGTTGTGTCCATGAAGAGCGAGTCCCGCAAGAGGAATCCTGATGCAGGAAAAATCCAATCAAGAATGGCCATCACCTTTCCCTACTGGAGGAGATTTATAAATGAAAAAACCCTTTAGCTGAGATTAAGCAGGAATATCCAGCACTTTTCTCAAACAAAGAGGTAAGATGATATTCAATTACACTGTATACATAGAAATATATATGATTGTTACAATTATTGTTTAATTATTTAACTTTAAAAGTATTTCCTTTCACAAAATGAAATCAGAATTGAAAAAGGATTCATAGGTGAATGTTCAATCTTATTTAATATGTCATTTGTACAGCAAAATGTATCAGGCTTTAAAGACGTTTTTACAAGATAGTTTGGTTTTTGCCAAATTAGATATATATAATATAATACTGCACAGACTCATGTGTTATAAATTTTTAGATTGTTGCAAAATTTGAGAGGATTTTGGCTGTTACATCAAGCATAAAAGATACCTTCAAAGCCAACTTTCTCCAAATGAGCAACAAGATCACTAATGCTTGCCAAAATGTCAAAGAAAGTAAAGTGCTATGAACAGATAAAGTGCTATGAACAGATAGGGCAGTATCTGAAGGTGCTAGAAACTGACCCTAATTGTCAACAGGATGTTGAAAATTCAGATGGTAAGTCTATATATCAAATATTGTAGTCTATAGTCCATTCATCTATGATACATCTATGACATATATCTGATATTAATTCTCTTTGACTTTGATATAGATGAAATATCAGATGTTGCCCTGGTAGTAGCTGCCCTGCTGTTGCAGAAGTCTGGTAAAAACGACCTAAGCAGCATCATCCAGTGCATCCCAGTAAGTTATTCCAGAAATGTTTTCACTATACTGTTTGCTTCAGCTTCAGATTTTTACAACAGCATAAATTGGATTTATATTTATGACAGATGCTAAGCTAGAATCTTCCATTTCTTTGCAGGAAGGTTCGAATTTTGAAAAGGCTGCCAGTGAAACGCAAGAGATGCATCCAAAGATATTGGTCAAGAAGAGCATTGAGGACATTGGGAAAAAGGCTGTCGTAGCGGAGAAGATAGCGGTATGCCTTTGCAAGGGATGTTGCTCGACGCAATTGTTGCGTATATGGCCGTGATGTATGCTTTCTTGTTCGAGTATCTAGTAGTAGGATTAAGTCACTTTTGTTTATTTTTACAAAAATTTGTTCTGCACATCCATGATGGGAAAAAACTGCCTAGTTCAGTTTTAGACTTTATTAACAAATTGAACACTTTAGCTTTATAGTCTGATATTCATGTATACATGTATACAAACACATTGAACAACGCTTTAATTGAGGTATTTGTCGAACACTGTTTTGGCAGCGGTTCTAACTTGTCTTTATATCCCTTCTCCAACTAAAAGCATTTTGTTTAGCCCCTGGGAACGTTATCTTTATTAGTTTATTTACTTGCCAAGAATTTAATTATTACAGTTGCATATAGAGAAAGGTAAAGGCTTTGACCAAATTGATCATAAATATCCGATGTTGGACAAGTCGTTGAAACTCTGTGTTATTCTGTAAAATATAGTGGATATCCCAAGCATTCGTGTGTGTGGAATATACAGAAGAATTGGAATTAAAACCATTTCAGTTAAAATCTATGTGGGCCAACCAATTCTCACACAGGGCCCTAAATAATCTATTTACTCTGTAAAATCTGTATAAAATCTACTAATTACGGTCCAGCAATGCATAAGGAGGCTATATATCTCTGTAATTTTAAAGCTTAAACGCTAAAATGGCTAAAAAACCTGTTATTCTTCAATAACAAAATTCTACTTTTGAGTGATTGAACACAGCTAGTGAATTTATATTTATTTTTAAGGCTCGCTCGCTCCGCAGCAATTATCAATAAAATGTTTCAGTTAAAAATCTGTTATGTGGTTTACATTCTCCAATAATATAAATTACCAAAGACAAAGTTACCTCGTAGCTTCTTAAGCAGTGGTTATTAATATGACGTGGTGTGTGCTTGTTTGATCTTGCATATTTTATACAATTAATTACACCGCTACTGCAAAAAGCTTCTTGTTTCTCTGAACACAACGACATCAACATGGCTGAGATATTCAAACTCAAACAACAGTTTCTAGATAAAGAGACTTTTGACATACATGTAGGATACGAGTTCATATATATCATCATAGCAAGTTCTCTCAGATTCATAGTTTTCATAGCAAGTTCTCTCAGATTCATTTCAAGTTCGCTCGGTCATAATTCTGGCGTGGTAAAAAAATGTTTTATTTCCAGGGATGCTGGAACCACGGATGCAGCACCGTTATCCTTTGTTTTTACAGCTTTACATATGCATTATGGCTGCACAATTGAACTGGGATACTGTGCTTTGCCAACTTGTATTGCATGCGTATTGTTACTTTCCTGTAATTCATTATAATTATGCAGGTGTTAAAAGAGCTGGCGATACAGGTGTCACCTACTTTATTTTTGTACAAAATTTAGTGGGGGGATGCTGATCATATTAACTGAAACAAGACGCCCGGCTAAGGCGTACACTCGTGCTCTAGGGATTGTGTTCTAGGGATTTGATAGCATTACTTGACTGTCTTGAGGGACACTCATGGCGTGTTGTTGGAACCTATAGCGTAAGTTAAGGCTTTGTGGTTACCCTTGGCATGGGAGGACTTACACGACAAAAATGTATCACACAAGTATAACTAATACATTTACATTATTATCACAATTCACAAATGCCGATTATAGGTAGCCTAAAAATCAACACGGCGTGACATATTACTGTGTCAATGCTTCTATATTGAAATCCTGCAGACTGCAGTGTTTTAGTTCCGACGAAAGCTTTCAAAAAACTGGTTGTAATAGTATTGATTCGTATTGTTCGTAATGTCAGTCGACGGTTCAAACATTTAGGTATTTTAAATAAGTATAATTTATAAGCATTTGTACGTCTATAACACTGCGAAAACATCCATCATATATCTTGCTTTCATATAGGAATTTAAAAATATACATCGCACCAATCAATATGCATGTAAATGTTGCACCGCAGTAATGTCTTCTGTGCATATATATTTTGCCGTATTGTTTGTAAAATGTGGCTTGTATTGTCGGATAATTACATTCCGTCAACATTACTGAGTCAAGTGCGCAATGCATTCTGGGTCATCGAGGTCCAAAACGCAACCGACACACGACGAAACCTAGACTCGTGCTCTCCTAGAGCACGAGTAATAATTGGGATCACGTTCAGACCTCTTCGGCCGAAGCATAATTATTTTAGGTAGAATGACACAGCCTTTTATTTTGCGTTCCTGCCTCTACTTATGTTTACATAATTCATGAACTGATTGGGCACGTGAGCTATATGCTAAATTTTCAGCAGACAGCATTCACATCAACAAATATTACATGTTACTATTAAAGTATAGAAATTTCATTTGGTTTTGCTACGCATCCGCCGTATTGATTAACTCCAAATTTCATAAAAAAAGCGATTAGCCGTTTTCACATCAGAAGACGAACAAATCGTCTGTAGACAAACAAATCGCCTGCTATCGGCGGTCTGAAGGTGTCGTCTAAATACTGCATGTAGCTGTTTTCACACTAGAAGACCATATGTGTCGTTTAAATATTATTGATTATTATATTTGAGTAAGACGTGCAAAGTTCAAACAGCTCAAAAATGTAAGCAAAACAACGTACATATAGAAAAGCTATGTTGATACTAAAATAATTTGCATTTGAATTGTATGTTTGATTGCACCGGAAAGGTTGGCGATCAATGGCGAAAACTGCCGAGTGTGACGTACATCAGTTGTGTGACGTAGTGCTGAGTGTGACGTCATGGTCCAAGACAAGCATTTAAGAAAGCAAGCAAGCAAGCAAGCAATCAAGCAAGCCTCTGACATAGTGGCTACCGCTTACGCGGTAGTCACAAAAATGAAAAATGTCGTGTATACACTATATATTTCAGGTTAAACCATAAACATGTATAATACGTTTAATGTAGTTTATATGTTAAGATTCTTTATAAGGATTTTGAAAAGCAACAACACAATGAGACATTTTTGTGGCATATAAATTGGGCAGGAAGCGCTCGAAAAAAGGTCTAGAGGCTCTAATTAACCTAAGTTTTTCCTAGAGGAACAGGAGGACCTCTAATTCGCAGAGGATGTGAGCCAGCTCTGTGCATGTTGTTCAGTGAGTTAAGACCTCATGATCTAAGGACCACCATTAGTTACACTGAGACAGTAAGGGCACTCAAAACTCGACAGAGCGTGCAAAAACTATAGACCTCACTATAGGTTTTTCTAGAGGAACAGATGGACCTCTTAATAACAGGGGAACAGGCGGACCCCCGTTCAGGTCAGTCAACTCGACTCAAATATTGTCTGACTGACCCATCGAGTCTCTAGGTCGCGTTTTCGATGTACTGTACAAATGCACTTCACGTGGTGATGTGTTGTCCAGACTTCCTGCCAATAATGGCGATCTGCACAAAGTGCCAAAGTTCCCATTTCCGCCACGGGAAGTAGGCCGAATTATAGTCCTGTCTTTCGACAGCGGAGAGGGTCCACCCGAAAATGTCTTTAAGACACAATCTTGCAAAGGTGGCCGGCAATTGTGTGTATGGGCGTCCTTGAACAAACAGATTCGAAGGTATCGTGCAGTTGCCGTGGTAACATGACAGAACAACAAATCAACAACTTTGGATTTTCGAGCTTGTGGCATTTGCTTATTCTTCCATGCGTGTAGCTATATAACTTATGTTTCTTCTGTGTGTTATTTGTTTTTGTATATGTAAATATGTAATCGGAGGAATGCCTCGCATGGGATCTCGTGTCCCGTTTGCATTTTCTCCGTTTGAACATTGTTCAATAAATTTGATACATATAACAAACATACGACAGGCTATGAGTTTGCAGGAAGGATCCACATACACACAAACAGAGGACTGGTATTATACAGACTATACAGCAAGGAACCATAATGTTTGAGTTTTAAAGGTAGATATTAAACAAAATTTTCAATGTTTGGTACTTGCAGTTAGTTTTTATGAAACGGAAGCTAAGACGTCCTTTGGAGTTCTAATGTATCTCTCGTAACAATCTGAAGACCAACATAATAGCGTTTTCATGAGCCAAGAGGTTAGGCCAGCTGAGTCCGCAGCTGTAGCAGCTCCGATCCTGAAACTATGAGAGGCGTAGAGTTTTTCGGCTAGTCCTTGCCCTTGAAGTAGATGACGTATGTGCGATGTTAGGGTTACACGTGTAAGTGGGACAGCTGATGTAAATTGACAATTGGACGAGTTGTTTGGCCAGACGATGACTGGAGTAGATATGTTTTCATAGCTCGAACCGGGCAGAGTTATTTGGAAGTCGGTACCCCCCAATCACTGGATGCTTTCTACGCCCCTGGGTTTGTTGCCGTTCAGTGATCATCACATACGAGTTTTTAGCTTGATTCACCACAAAATCATTTTCATCGAAAACGCACGCGCTGGGTGGTTCAATTAAATGACGTAAAATTCATTCAATTGTTGTCAATTAAATGATCGTTTCGTGCGGATAGGTTTGCAAAAATTTTGCGCCCGAAATATTATTTCACAGAGCGATAAAAAGCGGTTAATTGAAAAGTATGTTTTCCCTTTCCTCATTATCCAAACCCTTCGATGATTTTGACATTACGATGAGCCAATTGTTAAACGACATCCACGACGAAAAGGGTCGGTTTTGGAACGCTTGATCAAGACATCATAATATTCCGCGTGGAGGATATTTGGGTGGAAAATAATGTCATTGCGGGATAGGTGGCACTCGGGATCAAATGGAGAATTACACGTGAATTCACTACAGCGCAGGAAACGAAAAAAGGCCAGAGTGAAGGCGGCCCAAAGCATCACATTGTCTTTACCATGCATGATAGATAGTGCTGGTGCCATCAAAAAGGCTTCATCAGGTGACAAATCTTTTGGAGGCGAAATAAACAAAGGCCAGTACTTAGAAATCATCACATGTTGCCATAAGAACTTAACATTATGGTGAATTAGTCGGTTGATCTGCAAATTAATAATGTGTGTATCCATACAGTTCACCTTGATGCATATTCACAGCAGATTGAGCCAGAGAATGTCTACAGCCTGCTACAACAAGACCAGTTTCATCTAGTTTGGATTGACGGTTGACCGTATTCCTTGCAGCTTTCCAATGAGAGGAACCACAATAGGAATTACTTGAATGACCCTGGGAGGATTAAATATGATTTTTAAGTATAACTCTTATGAAGTTTTGGTATATTATTATTATTGTATACAAAACTGGTATCATTGCACAACTCTCCATAATTCCTCACAATCATGATCATACCTTAGCTGAGTTGTTGGAATAAACATTGTTCAAGTGATCCTCTACCAGTTCATTATCTTCAATGAATGTATTTCCATAATAGCAATTTCTTTCACCTCTATAAACAAATTATATAAATCATGGACATTTGGTCAGTATGATTTTAGCCAGGCAACAACACAATACCTTGGCACACTTTTGTATCTATAAAGTTTAGCGTTTTCATCAACATGACACAAATGTTTGGATCTAAAACATGATGGGCATTTTGCCCATTGTTTTTCTTGTAAGATGTCAACTTCATGCATGGCAAAACACCATTCTTTGAATGCAGGATGAAACACTGATGTGTTGATGATGGCTGACTAAAAATTTATGAAGAAGATTATGTACAGTTTTAGACCACTTCAGGTACAAAATTTGATTGAGCAGATGCTTCACAATGCTACACATCAGGCTTTTGATATATATCTGGTACAGCTCTTATTTGCTAATTGTTCATTTATGATTTGTACAAACTATGTACAGTGACCTGAGTATGATTTACTAACCCTGCCCTTTTCACTAGATATGGTGGCCAAGGACTTAAGAAATGCTGTCGCAGATATGCCTGGCATGTATTTTGGCAGTGAATTCCAAACTCTGAACACATCTTCACAATAGATGTAATTAAGATTCTTCGGGCCACCTGGCCAATATCCTTCATTAATTATCTTATCCAGTGTTAATGGTGAGAACTGTTTATCACATCCAGTGCAACTGTATGTGAATAAATACAAATCAAATCTTCCTGCAAGAAAACATTGAAAATCAAGATAAGCTGATAGTAACTACATTTTTAGAGCACATGATGTAGTGCACACTACTGTACACTATACACAGCTAAATTTGTACCTTTGGCTGTTATAAGAATGCACATTTCATTGGAGGGGATGATGGAAAGTGTATCCTGGCCCTTGCAGAAATCTATCTTCCCGCAGAAAATGTAATAATCAGTCTATTTTATACAGTATAAGATTACTGAACCAGTACTTGTGGTTTACCTGAAATGATCAGATTGTATAAAAAAAATGCATGCATAGCAATATTTATAATTGATATATTTCATAGTCTCTGAAACAAGAATATCAAGAATATAGTCAGCATCTGAACAAACAAATGATAATTTTTGAATTATTGAATTTACAATAATCACTTACGGTTGAAGCCTGGACGTCCATCTGAGAGGACTGTTTCAGTTGGAGGAACTGGTTGATAAAATCCATTTATCCAAACATCATGGTCATGATGCAAAAGTTTTATCTCATGAGCTGTCTCATCACCAGAGTAATGCATCTGGTTCTCAGTGGCAACACCAAACAACACCTCTGTCTTCTCTGCACATGAAGCAAACAGCCCCAGTTTTAGGAATTGCATAACTTTTTAAAACAGCAGCAAATATAGCAGATCTACTATTTTGCATGGGAATGCAGCATCCACAGACTGCATTCTTCTTGTCCACATGGACTGGGTACTGGACTTCATCTCTTGGGTCAAACTTTAACAATTTTTTATACAGGTGGTCAAATTTTCTACAAATTATAAATATGAATTGCACAGTAATGCTTGCACGCCAGCGTTGAGTAGTCGTAATAAGTAGTAGTAATAAATGAAACATCACGGTATATAGGGATGAGACTAACTTCTTTGTAGAGAAGCATGAGATGATTCTTCATTAATGATGTCAAAATCAAAACCACTATCTCATTCAAATGGGCAAAGATCAACGTCGTCGCTTTCGAAAAATTCAATAATTATTTATATAAAAAAAATTATGATTAATTTACCAGTGACACTACTAGTTTGGTCAGAAGTAGCGCGCTTTTTGCTTTTTTGCGTTCAGCAACAGAGCGGTATTTGTAATTGGAATCACGTATTCTTTTACCACTGCTATCGTACGTGATGAAGAAGTGGCTCTGCTTTGGGCTCTTTTTTTCTCTATTGTACCAGTTTACTCCCGTAGTTTTCTAAACTAGCCTCCAAGGAAAGTCGTTGTTGTGATGACCGCTTTGACGATTTAGCGCACTCTTTGGCAGCCGCCATATTGCGGTGTGATATTACCATAATATGCGCATCAGTGAGCTCCACATATATTTAGGTCAGTGGCAGACAGTCACGTGATTTTTGTCAAAGCAAAACTTACAAATATCTTTGTGATCAAAATACCCAAGTAAACCCTGATATTTCTTCTGGAAAAATCGTCGTTTAATAGATTTCTGATATCAGATCTGCTATACTTGAAATAAAAAGGTATTACTTTGTTTTGATTGTTTTTATAGTGTATATTTATTTGTACAATTTGCCAGTATGGAATGTCGAAATATTTCGCGTCGGACAGCTAAAATTTCACAACGAATTATGCGTCAAAATCGTGAATAATTTGCGCTGAAAAAAAAGAAAGTACGCGCCAAACTACCTACAAACTTAGGCTAAACTGAGATCAGACTGCTGAGTTGAACGGGATGAGCGATGAAGGCTAGATTTAGCTTACTAACTTTATAAAAATATACATTTTAAAATAGACCTCTCCCCTTTTAGCACAAGGCGCGCTAAGCATGGCACAGATTAGCTATATACAGATCTGAAACTTCTGTAATCTGTTGCATGACGATAGGAATATCACTGAGCTATATAATAATTATTATATAGCTCAGTGTAGGAATATGCAAAGTTGCTTTCGAACGAAATGGCTGCCGTTTGTGCCGTGAATTTCGTGCGAGAGAAGAATCGGCGGATTTTTAAAATCATTTCGTGTCCATCGATGTTTGCTTTTTTTTGGAAAATTGCGAGAAGGTTCGTCACTACAAAACGACGAAATTTCATGACGATCTGGCCGTTAATGGCGATAAAAATCCGTCGAGAAGATGTCGAGTTGTGAACAATCTTCGCTCAAATTTGCTTGCGAAAAGTTGACTAACGTGTAGTGAAACAGGTGAGTTCGCTTTTCAACTTGCGATCGGTTGATTATTTTTATAAAATAAGCGTAAGTCAATTTGGTATTAAATTTTGCAATATTCCCCCACAGACTTGGTAGTTGGTACTGTAATATATACTGGTAACTACAACATTAAATATTTATCAATAAGTTTATCAATTCATCATAAATATTTCAAATGTTTAATAGAAAAAACAATATATTAGCAACACTAGATGAACTGATGACAAATACACACATGATGCATAGACTAATAGTTATGTCTGAGTCATTTTGTGTAACTGTGTGTCATGTAATGTTTGTTTTTTTCTTCATACATTAGCAAATGAAAGACAATGGTCTTCTTGTCAGATTCAATCTTATATTAATTGTTTTGATTACAGACCTGTGGACTTTGGTTGGTCAAATAATACATAAGAAAGCACTAAATTGCTGCCCCCAAACCTTTGCATGTTTTTGCATGAATTGTTCCTAAAAGACACATCATTCATATTGTGTTTCATATAAGAGCAATGTTGTAATATCAAGTAATGTAATGATATAGTTTATGCACAATACGACATTAGAAGACAAGTTTCTAGACTGGAGTGTAAATGCTGCTCTCATAACTGCAGAGTCTCAGGTGTCCCAGAGAGAATGCAAGAGGGGTGAAGTTTTCTATAAAGTTTAATAATATTTATCCAAATTGGACAGAGATATAATAAGCATGTAAATTGTTGCCTGATCACTATGTTCAAATTGTGATGTAGATTTAAACAGTTTAAACTCTGCCATTGATGAATTACACAGTTTTAATCTATAGTATTTCCCCAGAGTAAGGAATGTGTGAATATCTAAGTTCTAGGGAAAGGGAGTTTAACTAATAAATATGAAAAATACAAATATGAGAGCAATCTATGAGAGGTATTTCAGTCGTGCCAATAGAAGCATTCCGAAAAATGTTGACCAGTTCATTTCTTACTTGAAGGAACACATGTGAACAATTCCTCAACAATTTGACCTGTTTCATTGACCAATCAGACTGCTCAAAAATAAAATATAAAATTTGATTGGTTAATGAAACAGGAAGTTAGTAACTTTTTAAGGAACTTTTCAAATTATTGAGGAATTGTTCAGATGTGTTCCTTCAAGTTAGGAAATGAGCTGGTCAACATTTTTCGGAACGCTTCTATTGGCGCAACTGTAATTGTGCAATTGTGAATTGATGCATTCATTATTAGTCAGTGTATTCATGCATATTCAGACATGTACAGTAACTATATAGCCTGCGGTATTTGGTTGGTTTAGATAAATTAGAAAGGAATTAGTTGTACTTGTTTTTCTAGGTTATTGGATCAATTTTGAAAATAACTACATTCTGCCCAACAACAACATACTTCTGTCTTGATCAAGTCAAAATTTCATGATCATTATTAATACCATTCTTACTTTAGTAATATCCAAATGAGAAACTCAGCTATGTTATTACAAACTAATGACATGTGTGGTTTTTCAGGAGTTTCACTCAAGCTTCACCCTTAGTAATTTCACTAGTTAAATATTACTTATATTTACAAGTTTCCAGTCCAGTATTCAAGATATCTGAGAGGTCAAAATATCAAGTTTTATAGCAACATTTATCTACTACTGAGAATGTCATATTGAAAAATGTTATCATACTGAGAAATATAGATTTTCTTGATATATATTATAAATAATTTATTGGTAATAACTATTATTCTTACTTCTACACTTGTGTCATCATGTGCCCTGGTATGAAATTGAAGCCTGAAGAGTCAAAATGAAATGAAGAATTTACTATTCATATGCGTTTGCAGAATTTATATTTCAATTTACATCAGGGCTGCTTATTTGAACATGAATATATAAATCCCCCCACCCACAATTAATCTTCTAGCTATATCCCTGATTTACAAGTACTTTTGCAGAGTTTTTAGTTCAAATCACTTCCCTAAAAAGTTTTCCTTGGGCGTATATCTTCTATATTACCAAAAATGTTAAGCTATATTTATTGTAATACAAGTATTTCTGAAATGTCCTAATCACACACATGACAGATTTTTTAAAAAATAATTTTAATTCAAACCCACAGAATGAAAGTTGTGTGAGACACAAAATCCATCCTCAGCCTGACAACAACTGTTATATTTATTATGTCCATTCAGTCTCTTATTTCTTATATTCATATAATCATGTTTGCATATCGTAGGAACAATAGCGTACGAAAGAAATCAGTCATCATAAGACAAATATATGAATTTATTATATACACAAGCGCCAGATATGAGGTATGCTGCAATTTCATTGGTTGGTTACTAGACAGATATTAGCTCATATCTGTCTAGTAGAGAAAGTAAACAAAATGGCTGAAAGATTTGGGGAGTTGAGTGAAATAGAAATCC